TTTTGTTAAAAAAAAGAAGCTACACGTATACTAACTATACAACTTAGCACACCCACTCCTAGATATTAACACATGAGTAAATAACATGTGTCCACACAAGATACCTATACATGAATGTTGACGGCAACTTAAAAGGGTGCATTTTCAATGCCTGTAATTTATACCTCAGTAAGCCAAAAAAGGTCCATCTAGTCAAGGCTATGGTTTTTCCAGTGGTCATGTATGGATGTGAGTTGGACTGTGAAGAAAGCTGAGTGCTGAAAAATTGATGCTTTTGAACTGTGGCGTTGGAGAAGACTCTTGAGAGTCCCTTGGACTCCAAGGAGACCCAACCAGTCCATCCTAAAGGACATCAGTCCTGGGTATTCATTGGAAGGACTGATGCTGAAGTTGAAACTCCAATACTTTGGCCACCTCATGCAAAGAGTTGACTCACTCGAAAAGACCCTGATGCTGGGAGGGATTGAAGGCAGGAGGAGAAGGGGACGACAGAGGATGAGATGGTTGGATGGCATCACTGACTCAATGGAAATGGGTTTGAGTGGATTCCGGGAGTTGGTGACGGACAGGGAGGCCTGGTGTGCTGTGATTCATGGGGTCATGAAGTCAGACACGACTGAGCGACTGAACTGAAGAAGTTAAATGTAAAATTCTCATGTGATGCAGCCATTCTACTACTATATATCCCAAAGAACCAAAAAGTATTCAAATAAATACTTGTTCACAAATGTTCATAACAACACTATTCACAACAGCCAAAAAGGTTCACAACAGCCAAAAGGTCCATCAACAAATGAGATAAACTGTGGTATATACATACAATGGATTAGCATTCAGCCATAAAAAACACTGAAGTTCTGATACATCCTATATATAACTTGGCTGAACCTTGAAAACATGCTTTGTGAAAGACACAAAACATCACGTATTGTATGATTTCTTATATACGAAATATCTACCAGGCAAATCCATAGAGACCGAATGGATTAGTGGTTGTCAAGCCAAGGGATGGAAGGAGCAGAAAATGGGCTCATTAACAGCTCTAGGTGTTCTTCTGGGCAGATGAAAAAATTTTAGAGGCACTGGTTGCACACTCTGAACATCACTGAATCACACTTTAAAATGATTAAATGTCACTGAATTGTATACTTAAATGACTAACTGTATATGATCTTCATCTAATAAAAAGAAAAAATGCATTGGTCTATCCAATGACATATATATTTATAAAAAAGAGTAAAGCTATTATGTATTTTTGTTGTTGTTGTTGATAACCAGTGCTCTTTTTTTTCCATTTATTTTTATTAGTTGGAGGCTAATTACAATATTGTAGTAGTTTTTGTCATACATTGACATGAATTAGCCATGGATTTACATGTATTCCCCATCCCACCTCCCTCTCCACCCAATCCCTCTGGGTCTTCCCAGTGCACCAGGTCCGAGCACTTGTCTCATGCATCCAGCCTGGGCTGGTGATCTGTTTCACCCTAGATAATATACATTTCAATGCTGTTCTCTTGAAACATCCCACCCTCGCCTTCTCCCACAGAGTCCAAAAGTCTGTTCTATACATCTGTGTCTCTTTTTCTGTTTTGCATATAGGGTTATTGTTACCATCTTTCTAAATTCCATATATATGTGTTAGTATATTGTAATGGTCTTTATCTTTCTGGCTTACTTCACTCTGTATAATGAGCTCCAGTTTCATCCATCTCATTAGAACTGATTCAAATGAATTCTTTTTAATGGCTGAGTAATATTCCATGGTGTATATGTACCACAGCTTCCTTTATCCATTCGTCTGCTGATGGACATCTAGGTTGCTTCCATGTCCTGGCTATTATAAACAGTGCTGCGATGAACACTGGTGTGCACGTGTCTCTTTCAGATCTGGTTTCCTCGGTGTGTATGCCCAGAAGTGGGATTGCTGGGTCATATGGCAGTTCTATTTCCAGTTTTTAAATTACATTTTAAAACAGCATTCTGAGCTCTACCTATGGCTCAGTGGAGACTGAGAACCGTGAAGCAGCCAGGCTATTATGTATTGATAGAAAATTACGCAAGTAAATTTTTAAGTTGAAAAAGCTGTCAAGTATATACAGTAGGGAAGAATTTATAAATATGAACTTATTTACTTGGTTTTACATTAACACAAATGAAACCTGTAATACTGCTTGCCTTCAGAGAGCAAGGTGAGTGGCTGGGGACAGGGAAGAAGCTTTTTTTTATATAAGCTTGTACCTATATACTGTTGTACCTTTTGTTTTATGAACCATGTAAATGCATTAATATTCAAAAAATTAAGAGAAAAAAATAAAGTTAACATGGAAAAGCAAAGTACAAAGCTAATCAAAACAATTTTGAAAATTAATGGGAGATGGGACCTTCACTCTTGTAGATATTTAGACTTGTGTAAGAGCAGACCAAAAAACAAAGAGTAGAGAAAAGTCCCCAAACAGACAAATACACTCACAGTATGAATACATACATATGCTTTCTGTCTCTAAATATCAGACTGACATAAACAAATAAATATAAAAATACACACAGGGTAACTAGTCTATGAATGGTAGTGGAAAAATCTTAGTTATCCCTATAGAAAAATAAATGAGTAACTCCTACCTCACACCAAACATAAATTTCATGTATACTTGAGACACAAAACACATTTTAAAGAGAATCTTTATATCCTCTGGGCTGAGGAAAATCTTAAAGTGGATATGGAAAACACAGACCAAGAAAGTTTAATAAATTTAAAGTAAAAATTTCTAAATAGTAAAAGACATTATAGAGTAAAAAGACAATCTGAGGTCTGGCATCAGTTATTTGGATGCAAATGACCAAAAATAAATGTTAGGATCCAGAATATTTAAAGTACTCTTACAAATAAAGACACAAGATAAAGGATATAAATATGCACTTCATAAATGGCCAGTAACATAAAGAGATGCTTATCCTCACTGGTTATTAAGGACATGCAGTTAAACCACACAAAAGGTTTTAGTTTTACCTCCATCCAGTTGGTAAAATATCAAAATCTGACAACTGTCACTAAAGATGTGGAACAAAGGCACCTTTATATATTGCTTTCGGGAATTTAAATCGACACAATAATTTGAAGACAATTTCGTATCATCTAGAATAGTTGCAGATCCATGCAGCCTATGACTTAATTCTATTTCTTGATATATACACAGGAACTTGTTGCATATGAGTATAAACAGACACATAAAAGAATATTTATAATAGTGGAAACCCGAGAACAATCCTAAATATCCAATAGCAGGAGAATGACTCCGTGGTGTTATATAGTATCCACATGATGAATTACTCTCAGCATAGAGCTATATGAAGCTAATCACTAAAAAAAAAAAATGCAGATCAGAAAAAACAAACTATCAAATTATATCATTTTATATAAAATCAAAAGCATTCTGCAAAAGCAAACTATTTTGGCAACCAAACTTTTCTGGCAACACACAATTATTATAAAAGTCATATGGAATGCTAAACACCAAAATTAGAATAATGATTATGTCTGGGAGCAAGAAAGAGGAACGGTAATCAGGGAAGGTACACAGCTCAACTCTTTCATTCATGTTTTATTACTTTGGCACGATCTGAAGCAAATAAGGTAAAAGGGCACATGTGACCAAAAGGGATTGTGTTCTATACTTTAATGTACACTAGAACTGTATCATAGCTGAAAATGAGAAAAAAGGAAAATTCCAAAATGATAACTATTATTTCCTAGTTGTAGGTTTACAGTTTTACTCTTTTACCCTATGCATACTGTCTAAATCTTCTATAATAAATGGGTATGGCTTTTATAATGGAAAAAAAAATCAATGAAAACTATATACTTTAAAACTCACCTGATAAACTCAAGTCTGCTAACTGTCCACTAGAATCCATTTCCTTTTCCTAACAGCCACAGACAAGAGTGCCCAGCAAGAGACACTGCAGCTAGAGGAGGCCATGTAACTAAGTACTTGCTAATGGAAAATGAACCATGAAATAAAGGTTTTCCTCCTCAAATTAGGCATGAGCCCCACCCTCCTCTCCTGGTTGAATCAGGAATGTGATCCTGCAGCCTGAGTCAACCACGCACACAGAAAGGAGACCACTGCTCAGGACAATAGGGCAGTAACACTGTAACATCTAGGGCTCTGGGAACGCTGAAGCCCACCTGCCCTGCAACATTCGCCTCCTCTGGCCTGTTTGAGACAGCAAACTATCTTACTTGAACTACTTGATTTTTGAGTCTCTGTTGTCCCAGATTAGCCAATATTCTAATTAATAATGGCAGGAAAGACGACTTAAAGGTTGTACCTTCCATTTCTTCTCTTGAAGTTACCATTTAAGAAACTGTCTTAAAGGCCATCCAAAAACTACATTAACAAATCAGTGGCTGAATCTCTATCAATTAATCTAGAAATTAATGAAGTATTCCAGTGTAAATCCCCAATAAGATTTTTCATGAAATACAACCACCTAAAGATTAAATTCATATGGAAGAAAGGTACAAAAATAGCCAAGAAAAGTATCAAAAGAACAGAGATTTACCATGTATCAAAATGTATTTCAAAACTATAATAAAGTGTAGTATTAGCACACAAATGGCCAAATAGATAAATGGAACAGAACTGAGAAACAAACTCATATATATATGGAAATAAGCAAAACATAAAGGAAAAAACTCAACAAAACTGACAACATAGTTTATAACATCTACGATCAAACACACACACCAAAAAACACCATCAACAAAATTAACCAGCAATAAACTGAGAGAAAACACTTACATATAATGTATGATCAGTATATAAACTGTATTTTTAAATACTAATAAATCAATATAAAATTACCCAGCTGAAGATGGGTAAAGGACATAAACAGCCAATTTATAGAAGAGGAAATACATATAAGCAATAAAAACAGATGCTTAATCTTACTAGTTAACTGGGAAATACACAAAATTTCATTTTCCCTCCATCAGATTAACCAAAATTAAGTCTGATAAAAGAGAAAAAAGCAGTATTCTCATACATTACCAACCATAGTGTATTAGAGGGGAAAGTAGTCAGCCACTTGGAAGCACCATTGGTAGGGTCTATTAAAATTAAAAATGCACAGAATTTATCCAGCAATTCCACCACTTGGTATCTACTCTTGAAAAAGTCATGCACATTTACAGGGACATATAAAAGAGTGTTCACTGGAACATCATTTATAATAAAAATTAGAAGCAACTGAAAAATGTTCACTAACAAAAAACGACCAGAGTCATCCCATAGCACACACAGCAGGTTGAAAGAACACAGGAAACCCATACTAACCAATAGGAAACATTCTCCAAACACAACCTGAAAAAATAAGCAGCAAAGTGTAGACCTTTTGGAAACATGTTTACATTTCTGTATTTTGCCATGCTCCCCCTTCAAAAAAGTCATGTTATTGGTCATATTAATGATCTTAGAAAAGGGTAAAAATTGTTATAATTGTACAGATATGCCATAAAGGTTTAAAAAAAAAAATCAGCAACTGTAACCAAATTTGTACTTGCTCTTTTTAGAAACAGACTTTCAAGTCACCAGTTCACTGCAGGACTGAACTGAGCCACCACACACAAGCTTTCATCACAGATGAGTAACTGCTCAATTTATACTTTACCTATGTTTGGACTGCCTGAGTCCAAATGCCAAAGTCAGTTCTGGAAATGTCATCCACTTAGTTTTCTGGTATAAAATTAAGTACCCTAATCAATTCGCATCTTACAAGTGGCATGTCAACTAATAAAAATAGAGTCAGTGCTTCCATCTTCAATTATAAAACAAATCAGTTAACATAATAAGCATCTGAAAAATGTAATATACTCAAAGGTGTTGAAGGGACAATAATCAACTTGGTCTTAAAAAACTTTCAGTAAGGAAGCTGAAGAACCCTAGGCAAATGTATGGAGATGGAAGTCCAATATTGATTCACAGACGTTTTTAGGGTCAAGGCTCCATAGCATGGTTTCCAAGATGTGCTCACGTATCAACAACTCTAACTGTTCCATGATCTGCCTTCATGGTAGCAACAAACCACACAGGGAGAAAAAAATAGGTAGTAACCTCACTGAGCCTCTCCGAATTTCCAAAGGGGAAAAAAAAATTAATGTCCAAGTCTCCTGACATTTCAGTTGGGTCATTTTAAGAACAGTTTGTGGCATTTCACATCACACTGACTGTGGCAAGCCTCACACTGCTGCAAGGAATATGCTATACCAACAGTTTGATAGGGGAAATATAGTAAGTAATTTCAAATAAAAGTCAATTGTCTTCCCTTCCATCAAGAAATCTGGGGATTCCCTAGTGGCTCAGATGGTGAAGATTCCGCAGGCAGTGCAGGAGACCTGGGTTCGATCTCTGGGATGGGATGCAACCTGTTCCAGTATTCTTGCCTGGAGAAAACCATGGACAGAGAAGCCTCATGGGTTACAGTCCACGGAGTCACAAAGAGTCGGACATGACTGAGCAAATGACACTTTCACAAGCTACAGGACACTTTCAAAAAAAAAAAAATAAAGTCTGAAAAACTGTTAACCTATTTTAACAAACTAGGGTAAACCACAGCAGAAACAAAATAATCAGCCAATACTAACACATATATATGGAATTTAGAAAGATGGCAACGATAACCCTATGTGCAAAACAGAAAATGAGACTCCTATGTATAGAACAGACTTGTGGACTCTGGGAGAAGGCGAGGGTGGGATGTTTCAAGAGAACAGCATTGAAACACGTATATTATCTAGGGTGAAACAGTTCACCGGCCCAGGTTGGGTGCATGAGACAAGTGCTCGGGCCTGGTGCACTGGGCAGACCCAGAGGGATTGGGTGGAGAGGGAGGTGGGAGGGGGGACCGGGATGGGGAATACATGTAAAAAAAAAAAAAAAAAAAGATACACTATGGTTGTGATAAAAAAAAAAAAATAATAATCAGCCAACAATAGTTTGATATTGTTTAGCTTTTTAAAACAGATCATTTAAAACATTTCTTCTCCTCCTACCCAAATGATGAAATACAGAACTAATGCTTCAGAGAATAACTATATTAATGAAACATCAACAAGTTACAGATAAACATTTTAATTGATTAAATATATTATTTTCAAGATCTTTTGGAAATCGCACTTTTAATATTCTATTCAACAGCCAAAGGCAATAAAAAAAGTTTAAAACCAAAAATGTTCTGACATGAACATGTGACAGGAATTGCTGCTATGTGAAGTAACATACACTGCTCCCAGGAACAATATTTTTAGAGAATAATTCATCTTAACATGTGCAAGGACAAATCTGTAATCAAAGGCTGGAAGAAATATATATTAGTGCCTGCTTTTTAAAAGTTTATTTTACATTTTAAATACAGTATTTTCTCATTTAAAAAAAAAATGCCAGGAGGTACCTAACCCCATGGTTTCTATACCATATACATGAGAGCTGATGGACAATGTGACAAAGCTTCTGGGTGTAACAGAATGAACACCTATAAACTGGGACTACTGAATCGAAATTAAAAAACACAAATTAAGCACTGCTTAGGAGAAATTAATCCAGTTTCCAAATAATCAAAAGAGAACAGAGTTAGATATGTACAAAACCAGGTATTAAAAAACAGAAAAAAATGCAGCACACACAAAAAACAAACAGCCCCTTATGTAGTGAACTGTATACACTGCAGCTAATCAATGGAAACCCTCCTACAAGAAGTGATTTATGATCAAAAATTTTAAAAATCTAAGTATTTCAGTAAGAACATATAATAACAACATTATGTGTATATTGCCATCTTTATAATTTTCTATCTATACCACCCTTCTGAAAACAAGAATCTCTACACTAGTCAATCACTTACACAAATTTGAGGCAATTAATCCATATTTGATTCCAGTAAGAAAAACAAAGATGTACCTCCTTCCATCAATGAAGACATAATACAGATTAAAGCTATAAAAAAAATTTAAGCATGGCCATATGCATTTCCAATTCTTTCTATTAAGTAATTCCCAACTGGGATCATGTAGGATATGTGCCTAAGTAGTATCAAATCAAAAGAAAATGGACTATCTCTGGCAGTGATTTCCATATTAGTGCAATGTTATTCACCATACACTGAATTATATTTAAATGACCTTATATATTTTAATTCAGTAGGTGTCAATTTGTTTACAAAATCCCTAACTATATGCTTGTGTAGAAAACAGTTTCAATTTGAGATGCTCTATAAAGCCAAATCAAGACAAAAATGAATTACTTTTTTTGCTTTGCTACTGGTAGTATAAATACCAGATGAGGAGAAAAGGGCCAAGGGTTTGTGGAGGCTTGCTAAGATGGATGTTTTCAGTGTTCTATGTGTCTTGATATTTCAATTATCAATTAGATTTGAACATTCTATATTAAGATTATTCAGAAAATAATTATCTGTAACATAGCTCTTAACTAGACAGCCGTACCCAAAGCAAAACAATCTGGGTCATTCAGAATAAGATCAAATTGAGGCAATTTCTTTTCTATTATAATCTGTGACATCCTAAGTTTCAAAAATGGTGACCTTCGATGAAAGTGAGGTGTCCTCATGTATTACAGGACTTCAAATCAGAGGGCACTGTAGCTATGGGCGCTCAGAAAACACAGAGCAGGCAGCAACGGACTAACCATCAGCCAGGTGGGGTCAATGTTGAGCTGCTTTATTTTGGAGACTTTAAAAGATTTAACACGTAGCTCGTGTGACATCAGCATCCACTCGTGACACTGCTGGTCAGCACCGAAGGGCTGGATGAGTCTGAGGAGTCCCTTTCACCCCAAAGTACTAATGCTCAAAAGAGTTTCAAGGAAATCCTGATTCCCAGCAAGAGTCACAAACCATCAGACCAAAATCAACAGGGTAAACACTGACTGCAATGCTCCACAAAAGTCAAAAGAAATTTTCAAATTAAATGCCATCTTCCGCTCAACCCTAGACTCCAGACTCTGTAACATCTTTATCTAGTATAATAGACTCTGTAGTAGACTGATTTTGACCTCCACAAAGAGTAGGAGTTGTCAAACTTGAGGAGGTAGACTCCTCTCCCTGGATATTGGTGGCTGCCGGCATACACCTCCTCGTGACAGTCCCGCCGGTACACAGGCACAATCTCATCCAGCAGGGGCTTGTTGGCATTCTTTTTGGCCTTCTCTTCAGAACTGATGTTCTCTGTGGAGAAAACAGAGACACATCAGAATGGAGAGATTCAGGAAAACCACATGTCTGCCTCAGGCATTTTAAACTCCATCCTTTGAGAAACTGCTCATTAGGAATTCTCTCAATCCACTCTACAACTTATATGCATGTGAATGTGTACTGATTCCTTCTTACCAAGCACAGCACTCTCTGGGCCCTGGGAGCCCAGTGGCAAGCAACTGGTGGCGGCAGCAGTCAGCAACCTCTCTCCCTCTGTACATGAGCCACTGTTCCTCCCCCACCATGCCCCTTCCACATCCACTCAGTTCCTAATTCCTCCCAACAGGCAGGATATCACTCATCTGAGTAAGACCACGGAAAATGCTGCTGTGACCCTCTTCCTCCCAACAATATGGAAGTCCTCTCTTGTTTTAGGAAAGGGGAGAAGGGAGCTTATGAGGACTATTACTTTCTATTGATCTAAAATACAGAGAGTAAAATGAGAAAGACACAGAAAAGAGGTAGACATTCAGAGACACTCTGAAAATTCAATCACTTTCACCTGGCCTGTGTAACCTAGGGATGATCCCAGTGGCAAAACATAGGCTTTGATTCTAGGTTTGCCCCAGGTTAATAGTTTTTTGAACTGTAATGATATGAGGTTAGAAAAAGAATACCTGTAGAAACCTGTAGGAATGAGAACTTACGAACCAGCTGAAAAGTCTTAGTTTAACACAGTAATATCAACAGCTTCAAGGAAAACTGCTGTTGTTTAGTCTCTTTTGAGACCCCATGGACTGCAGCCTGCCACGCTCCTCTGTCCATGGGATTTCCCAGACAGGAATACTGGAGTGGACTGCCATTTTCTCCTCCAGGGGATCTTCCTGACCAGGGGTTGAACCTGCATCTCCTACACTGACAGGCAGATTTGATACTACAGAGCCACCAGGGAAGCCCCTCAAGGAAAACAGATCAAGGGAATATTCAGCATAGATGTTAAAAGACTTTCAGGTTTGCAACATGGCAGAACGACTTACAGGCACGAGTCAATTATGTGATGACTGTCAACGGCCACTATTAGGAATTTAAACCAGGAAGGTCTAAGAAACTCTCAGTTGAGAGGAGCTTAAGGAGACTGGTTACTACAATGTGGCACCCTGGATGGGATCCTGGAACATTCAGAAAAACTAACGAAATCTTAAGAAATATGGACTTTAGTTAATAATATATCAATACTGGTTCATTAGCTAAGATGAATATACCGTGGGACAAGGTAAGATGTTAACAATAGGGGAAAACTGGGTTTCAGAACTCTTTGTACTATCTTTGTAATACTTCTGTAAATCTAAAGCTATTCTAAAATAAAAAGTTTATTCAACAACAGTAGATGACAAACAGGCCCAAACCAGATTTGTTTTATCAAAGCAATACTACTTAAAAATTAAATGTCCTTCATTTGCAAATGAGATACAAGTCATTCTAAGTATACATTATTGCCCATAAGGATATCCATGAAATAGATTATTGGGCCCATTAATTCAAGATCCAAATTTTGCTCAAAAATCTACAAAATTAAAGGTTATTAGGAGAGATGAAAGATGCATCTTTCTTCAACCTAAGCAAAGACTTGGGACCTAGAGACAATCGAGTGGAGAATTACAGCAGAAGGATGGATTACCATCGTGTTTTCCTCAGAGAAAACAAACTCCTCCGTCTTTCAAGACCTAATGAAGAAAAACTAAAACAATAAACAAAAAAACTGGACTTTGCTTCCATCTTAAATCAAGCTAAAAGGACCCCACATAAAATAAAATACACAATGTGGACAAGACCTGGTGGCACAGTAGCCTCCATAAGGAGACACATGGCAAATAAAACCATTTGAGTTAATCTTCACTGTTGTTACTTCTTTTTCTTTTTTTTTTTGGGGGGGGGGGGCGCAGTGGTGGCTATGCCATGTGGCTTGTGGGATTCTCAGTTCCCTGACCAGGGACTGAACCTGGGCCATGGTAGTGAAGCCCAGAATCCTAACCACTAGGCCACCAAGGAACTCCCCTCACCACTGTTATATAATGAGTGCAGAGGCTTCAATGGGTCAGTTTAGCTGCAAATCATGTTACAGGTAATCATGACAGGTAACGCCATTTTCCATGTGAGGCTATCATACATTAGTGCAAAGATCAAAGACGTCCAGCTTCTCACCTCGAGTGAGGCACTGAACCCTAGCCATTTTGATCAGTGTTCTTCCCAACAGCAATAACACAATGATAATCAGCTGAGGGCTCAGACTACGAAGTATCCTGCTTTAAAAGCTCTCAAGCTTACAAACCAGGAGAAATAGATTACTTCAACCCACTTAATAGAGAATTCTCTTATTATTCACAAAGCTCTTTAAAAGTACAGTAATTAAAAAAAAAAAGTACAGTAATTTGCACATACTAAAAACTTCCCTTCCCAAACACGTGCAAATCACCTGATTGTAATGAGTCCCCGTGTGCATCAGAAAGACTAGTAAAGGGCTTAGTTCCTGTCCTGATGCTGCTAAGGGGCACATGAGACAACAGAAGTGGCACCTGCCCTGCAAACTCAGGCCTTAAAGTTTTTTTTTCCCTCCTTACTCTGACCTTTTTTTTGTCTGGTTCAGTCAGCAGTATTTATGTGCATGCAATGCTTTCTTGTGCTGGTGGAACTCAGAATAAAGACTGCTGAGAACAAAATGCTAAAAGCGAAAGCAGCTCCTAAATGACACTGGCCCGTGTGTGTGCTGCCATACACGACCTGGAGGGGCCCAGAGTATCTTGGTGATATAACTGAATCACCGGGATTCAGCTTGTCTATCAAAAGCAGACTGAACTTTTAGCCTCCCTCCACGTACCTTCAACAACTACCTCTTTAAACTTATCCCCGCGTTGTCTCTGTGGTTACCTACACTCTTCAATACACAGTTCACTTATAAGTCACCTGAAAGGTTAGTTATGGTCAAGAATTGAAGGTGCTGTCCCATTCTCCCAGTCAGGGCACTCCTTCCATATTACTCCCAACCAAGTCAACAAATATTTAAGTGCTTACTAGGTGGATACAAAAGCCCTGTGTTCTAACTTTTCTGGATAATGTCAAAATTAAGACAACTATCTTCACAATCAGTAAGCAATACATTTTACAACCTACTTCCCAGACCAAGATAGTTCTGTGGGGTTTTTTGCCTACACAAGACATGTGGGATCTTAGTTCCCAACCAAGTATTCAACCTGTGCCCCTTGCCTTGGAAGCTTGGATCACCAGGGAAGTCCCAACATCAAGACAGCTGAAACTGTCACTGGAAACATTTGATTTTGTCTAGTTAGAGAAAATACATCTTAGAATAACAACTAAAAAGCTGATATAAGAAATATAAATTCCAGAGCTGGCAGAATTTCTTGCTTGCTCTTTTGTAATTTTTCAAAATGACCTTGCACATTTGGCTTTTCAACACAGAAGGCTGAAAAGTGTAACAGCATTTAGAAAGCAGTAAAATAAACTGTCAAACAGACTTCCCTGGCATTCATAAAAATTCAGGCCCCACTCACTCAGGAGGCTAGCTTCTCTCACAATTTTCTCAGCCTGAGGTCCCACCACTGAAACATTTGATCCCTGTCCAGGAAGTTAATCAGGGAGCATGAGGTTGGCTGACATCGGAACTGCTACCATTTCTGCCAATGCACAACCCAGCTACTGAATATGGACCAATGGCTCTACCTTCCTCCTCCTCGTCGTCATCGCTGGACTCACTGACATGCACGCTGACAGCAGTGTTTGGAGAGTCTGTCCATTCAAAATATACCCCAAACCCAATGTCATAATTGTCTGTCGCAAATTCCCAAAAGAGGTATGACCCTTCTTCATGGGTGGGTACTCGAACAGTGACCACTTCTCCTCGGCCCACTGTAATCACGGAATCCGCATCCTGCCGGATCTTCTCTTTAAAGTCTTTGATCTGGGGTCGTGTCCACATGGATGGAGCTGCGATTACTGGAAGAGATTCTAAAGGCAACAGGAATTACAAAGGATAAAGAGGATGAGCCTTCACCTGTAGGCAGCAATACCTGCATAGGACCACTTGCCCAGCCACGTGCAGGCACCAAGTGCAATCTGGTCTACCTTAGACTGAGGACTTTAAAAGCCTCCCCATGGAAGTCTCCCCCCAAACTCCTATACTTAATACCACCACAGGTATTCAGAGGTCAACATTCCATTTTAAGTAACAAATGCAAACCATATTCTTAAGAAGGATTTTTTCCCAGTACTCTAACTGCCTATGGGCATGGAACAATGACCTTGGAAACTTCCTAGCTGGAAACAGGAAAACAGTCAAAGAGAGATGTGAACTTGAAATAAATTCATTTTTGGATGTGAACAAAGAAGGCTGGGCTTTGACTTCAGACTGTCTGTCAGAAAAAAGTCTTGACCTTGGAGTAAACCAAAGCTCTAAGGGAGGGGTTACTCTAAGGAAACTCAGAGAAAAACTTGGATAGGAATGGAATTGCTAGCAACTGAGGAAAAATGTGTAATGTCTTCTTACTGAGAAATATCTATGTGCACTCAATAGGTTTTCCAGAATCATTCAGAGCCTTTGACAAAAGATTTATTTGAAAATACTGGCAAACTTGTAATAGGAAAAAAAGGGGAAGAGAGGAATGCATCAAGGTATTTCAACGTCTTTTCTGAACCTATTTATTACTTGTTTTAAAAAGACAAGGAAACCAACTTTCTTATGAACCACGCTACCACCATCTCTGATCAGTCACTGAAATGGTCTCTTATTCCTTCTTACTTGGGAACTGGTACTCTTGATTCAGACCGCTCAGCTTAAGTGTCCCTTCCCCAGGAAAACCTCTGGTGACCTCATATCTCCATATTATGTGCTTTCACACTGTAATGGACCTTTCTCTCCATAAAGTACTTACCACGGCCACAATTTACATTATATGTGTGTTATTTTGCTTCACCTCTGTAGCCCAACACCCAGAGAATCTTGAATGAATTGTTGAATGAATGAATGAATGAATGAGCTGCCCGTGAAAAGGTAAGTAGACCTTTGAAAATCTAAATTATCTTACTGGTAACATGGTATTTCTGTCTCAAAAAATATATTGTGAATATATGGTAAACAGCCTACAAGTTGGCCCCCAGTGATCCTCACCTTGGGTATTCATGTACTTGTAAAGTCACCACTCAAAATTCACCAGGACCAACAGAATATGGCAGAAGTGCTGACGTATTACTTCCAAAACTAGGGCATAAAGAACACTGCCACTTTTGCCTTGGTTTCCTTTGCATCATGTTCTCTGGAGAAGCCAGCCACTGTGTTGAGAACACTCAAGCAGCCCTTTAGAGAGGCTCCATGGGGCAAGGAATTGAGGTCCTCCTGCAAATGGCCAGCATGAACTCGGCAGTCATGTGAGGGAACCATCTTGGAAGCAGTCTCTAGTCTGAGTCAAGCCTTCACATGACTGCAGTCCAAGACGAAGTCCTGACTCCAGCCTCATGAGAGACCAGAACCACCACCAGTAAGTGTGTGTGTTAGTCTCTCAGTCGTGTCTGACTCTTTGCGACCCCACGGACTGCAGCCCGCCAGGCTCCTCTATCCATGGAATTCTGCAGGCAAGAATACCATTGTGGGCTGCCATTTCCTTCTCCAGGGAATCTTCCTGACCCAGGAATCTAACCCGTCTCCTGCATCGTAGACAGATTCTTTACCATTTGAGCTACCAGGGAAGCCCACCACTCAGCTAAGCAGTTCTTCAATCCCTGACCCACAGAAACTGTGAGAGATAATAAATGTTTAATTATTATTTTAAGCTGCTAAATTTGGGAACAATGTGTTACACAGCAACAAATAACCAGTATATAAAATAAGACAACCCAAAGGACATCTGATTTGCCCTTCTAAACTATTCTAAGAGTCACCAGAAGCATCAGATTCAGACTAAAAAGAGTGAAAAAGCATTCAACTCTCACAAATATGTAATTGCTCTCAAAAGCTAATGAATCTGACTTCCTGACTTTTGCTTTTCATGAGTCTGAATTACAGTATCTGGATGGAAGTGCACATACAACAACCACACCTTTTGGTCCATTCTCCAGGGCTTCTTCGGCGGCTTCTGGTTCAATCTCTTTTTCAGTGTTGTCAGGGTGGGCTTTGGCCTGTCCATTAACTGACAGCATATCACTTGGCGTAGTTGTATTCACTTTTGAAGATGTAGGAGAGGAAGCCCCAGCTACTGCTACTTCCTGTTGTTTCTGTAATGCTGCCTGTAAGTCAAGAAAAAGTGAAGACACACTGACTAGGAAGGCTGAAAATGGGACATTTACCCTGAGATGCATTCTGAGCCCATCAGAATTTTTGCCTCATCAAGTAGCTCCAAGAAATTACTAATAACCTTTATCAGTTTTTATCCTACCTATAATGAATATTAGTATAATAATATTCTGAGGACCACCTTCTTGTGACCTGAGGATCACTAGAAAAACTAGGAAAAAATTAAAGTAGGTAGAAATAATCATCCCACATAAAATTATTATAAGTAAAAACTGAACACGGAAACATCTGTTCTTAAAACTGATAGAAAACAAACCTTAATAAAATTCAGATACATAAAATTTTCATCAGAAAAATTAAAACTTGGTAGAAATTAATGGTAACAGAAGAAAATTCACAAAGGCAGAAGTTGTAAATGGTGAAACCTGTTAATGGCCCCAAAATCAAATATGTCCAAATCAAATATGGACAAAAATAATTAATAAATCACATCTTTATACACAGAAAAATTATCACAAACTAACTGCTAATCAAGTAAAAAAATATTGACCTAAAAATTAAATAGGCTTTTAAATGGAGTTTGAGGTCAAAATAATTTCTTTAAAAAAATGCATCACTTTACATAATCATAATTAAAGTATGTATTTTCATAAACATAAAATTAAAAAGTCCTCTGAAAAATGGAAAATAGAAACAGCTTAAATCCAAAGGACAACTACTTTAGGACATTCCTCTCATATTACAATGAATAAATATTAGTATTAACACTATGAGAAATGCCTAAGTATTACTTACATAACTTTTGGGGAAACTTTAAATAAAATTAATTATAACAAACATATAGAAAAGTATACAAATCACAAATGTACAGCTTGACCAATTTTCATTAGACGAACACACACATAAAACCAACACCCAAATCAAGACATTATCTGCATCCCAGAACCCTTCCTGGTGCCCCTTGCCAGAAAGTCCTTCAAGGGTAATGACGAATCTAACCTGTAAAATTACAGGTTTGGCTCTGCCTGTCTTTGAACTTTAATATACATGAAATTGTATATTATATGTTCTTTTTTCTGTCTAGCTTCTTTTACTCAACATTTGTTTGAGAGGTTTATCTATAAAGTCATAAGTATACAACTGTATTTTGTTTGTTTGCATCACAATAGAATATATTATTGTGAAAATAGGAAATTTACCCAATCTACTGTTATGCATTAGGGCATTTAAGTAACTTTAAACTAAAACATTAAGTTATAATAAGTGAGCATATACTTACAACAGTTTAAAGAAAATAGGGGGAAAAAGCCTGTATAATTTCATGGGTTAGGGATAATGATACATTTTGGCCTACCTGAATACAGAGTTCATTTAATGAAATCATTGCATTACTGATCATTTACAAATCAGTTACTTAAATAGCAACACCTCTCTCTGCTGCTAGTGCTGGTTACCGAAACACTGAACATTTTGAAATACCTTCTTCCAAAGCTTAGATTCTCAGTAATTTCCACATCAGTTTTCTAAGAGTACCAGTTTCCATAAAAAAGTACAACCAAAACAAGTCAGCACACTCAGAACATTTCACCGTATGACAGGAAAGCAAAAAAAAAAAAAAAAGGAATTTCTGTTGATGATCAACTGGTCAGCTCAAATGGTCCCTCTTCACTTAGGCTTTTGTTGAAACTCTCTAGCAGAATGAACAACTCCCTACCCTGTGATCCCACTGAATATGAGTGTACATCTACTATACAAAATAGATTACCATTATTTATTTACATAATCTCTCTTCTATACTCCAGCAAGTTTTTAAAAGCACAGAAAGGCACAGGGACAATAAAAACACTTGTGTAACCACACCCCAAACTAACAAGTGTTCCCATTTTTTGTCATTTTGCTCAAATATAAAAATAAACACTTTATGGGGCTGAGGTTCTCTTCATTCCTCCCCCAGTTCCTCTTATTCTCTCTTATCAGAGACAACCAATCAATCTGATAAACTGAGTCTGATCACTGCACTCTAAACTATGGCCTTCCAATTCTATTTCAAAGATTTTTGGTTTTAGCCTATTTGACTGACTTTGTTCTCACTACGTGATAGCAACCTGTAAGCAGGACAGAGTGTATGAGCTAGCCTATTAGACAACTCTCTCAATACCATCAAAGCAGCAGGAAAAGGAAGTGATATGCTGAAGTATAAACAGTCTCTGGAGGACAGAAATCCCTCAAAAATACCACTTATTATCCTGTAACTCTGGTTTGACATCCTTTTCCTCTTCTCATGAATTACACAAAATCCGCTGTGCCTCTTAACTGCTTCACTAATGCTAAAGACTCAGGGGAAAACATTTTAGGTAAGGATATGCATTTTCAAGAAGTTTTAAAGAGCATGGCAAAATAACAAAGATTACTTCACCTAACAAGAAATGTGGGGCAGCTAAAACACAACACTTTTCCTTTTTTAAATTTTAAGACATTTTACTAAATTTACAGAGAAACACAGTTTGCGTTTTGGTTTTTACTCTGGCCTTGCTGCCAAGGCAGGGGACTTGCAGGAATCTTTGTTCCTTGACTAGAGATGGAACCCAGGCCACTGTCAGTAAAAGCACCAAGTTTTAACCACTGGATTACCAGGGAATTTCCTCACAACACTTTTCTTCACTCAGATATTTTAACAAGTCGTACCTGTTTTGTAACTGAAAATTAAATAAGAAAACTTACCTTAAAGTAAAACTTAAAGGCTAACTTTAAGGAGGCATTTTATGCCTCTGCAAGATGTAAAAAAATTAATGTAAAATCAGCTATCTTTCCTATGTATCAAATACTTTCACAGAGTAACTATTTTCTCATTTCATTCCTCTGATAGTCCTGTGAAGTTAACAAGACTATATAACAGGATTTCATATCCCATTCTTACTGGTTGGGTGAAAAGGCAGAAATATCAGAGCAATAGGTAACTAGACTGAGATCAAACAAGATAACGGCAAAGCTAGGACAGAATCCAAGTGGCACGTGACCTCCAGTGCTGTGTCCTTCCCCTCAACCACCTACTCCTGTGTGGAAGCAAGACTGCGGGGGCAGGAAGCCAAGGAGGACTATCAATGTGCTGCAGATGGCAGCGTTGCTACTGCACCCAGCAAAAGGGGCAAGACAGACCCAACCAAGCTCTGCCTTAGGGACTGCAGGTCCTCCAATTAGAAGCTGTCCAGGACTATGACAGCAGTTGGCCTGAAGGCTGTCCTTGAACTAACACTAATCACCCAAGTCTCCATGGTTCTGGGACCATGTTTAGAGCTATGTCAAACTCACTGGGATAACACTCAGTTCAGTTCAGTTGCTCAGTCGTGTCCAACTCTTTGCAACCCCATGAATCGCAGCACGCCAAGCCTCCCTGTCTATCACCAACTCCCGGAGTTTACCCAAACTCATGCCCATAGAGTCAGTGATGCCATCCAGCCATCTCATCCTCTGTCGCCTCCTTCTCCTCCTGCCCCCAATCCCTCCCAGCATCAGGGCCTTTTCCAATGGGTCAACTCTTCGCATGAGGTGACCAAAGTACTGGAGTTTCAGCTTCAGCATCAGTCCTTCCAATGAGCACCCAGGACTGATCTCCTTTAGGATGGACTGGTTGGATCTCCTTCCAGTCCAAGGGACTCTCAAGAGTCTTCTCCAACACCACAGTTCAAAAGCATCAATTTTTCGGTGCTCAGCTTTCTTCACAGTCCAACTCTCACATCCATACACGACCACTGGAAAAACCATAGCCTTGACCAGATGGACCTTTGTTGGCAAAGTAATGTCTCTGCTTTTTAATATGCTCTCTAGGTTGGTCATAACTTTCCTTCCAAGGAGTAAGCATCTTTTAATTTCATGGCTGCAATCACCATCTGCAGTGATTTTGGAGCCCCCCAAAATACAGTCTGACACGATTTCCACTGTGTCCCCATCTATTTCCCATGAGGTGATGGGACCAGATGCCATAATCTTAGTTTTCTGAATGCTGAGTTTTAAGCCAACTTTTTCACTCTCCTCTTTCACTTTCATCAAGAGGCTTTTTAGTTCCACTTCACTCTCTAAATCAAATCCCTTATGACTATACAGTGGGATAACACTAGGTCCATACAAATTCCAAATACACTTACGACAATATAATAGAGGCCACATCATCTGTTGCTTTGATATTATATACTTTCTTTCATAACTGCCACTGCAATGTTAAAAATCTCTTTTAATAAAGGTCACCTAAAAGTTACTTTATACCTGAGAGGCTAACTAATGTAAAAGTCATCAGCAACTGTTAAACAAAGAACTTTCGTTCCAGTGAAACTAAAAACCCTTTCTAAGGCTGAATGTGGGTGTTAGCTATCGTACCTGTTGCTGTGCAAGCTGGACTTGATACAACTGCTGCATATACTGCTGATAGTGTTGCTCCTGCAACTGGCGGATGAGAATCTGCTGCTGCTCGTAGTTCCCTGGATACTGTTGGGCTGCGTACTGCTGGAACTGCACGGCAGTCTGGGAGTTTAAAGCTGCCATTATCTGCTGCCTAAAAACATCAAAAAATATACACTAGTCTGACTACAGGAGATTGACTGTTCATGACAAAATAAAATGTCTTTGTTATTTCGTTTTATAACGAATACCTCTTAAAAATGATTAAGGTAGTAATGTATACCAAGCAGCATGTGTCCAAGGTCCAGAGAAAGATTTAAGAAAATAAACTTGGCTTCTAATTTTTCACTTAGGTTTTTCAAGGCCAACTTGAGATGGAAAAGGAGAAAAATAAGCATATCACTGTCACTGCCATCATCGTCATCACCATTTATTGTGCCCTTACAATGTGCCATGCAGTTTTTTCAGGGTGCTTCAGTGTGCTAACCCACCTAGTTCTCACAACCACCCTGTGAGGTAGGGTTTCACAAAGCATAAAACGGAGGATTTCAGTGACTTGCCCAAGATGACAGTAGACGCCAGAGCCAGGATTCAAGTCTAGGCAGTCTGGCTCCAGCCTATAGCTTTTGCTGTAAGAAAAATGGATTGTCATTTATTACAGAGATCAGATATTTAACTGCTGGCCATGGTTTTTCTACATAAATATATGTAAAGTAGTAAAAGGCTGAATAATAGCTAAAAGATGCTACAGGTGGCTCTGGTAAGTACAAATAAAGCCAGTAGAAATCTGAGTACCTTGGTATTTAACGTAAAGCCAGTCTTAAACAGGAACACTGAAGACAATATCTGGGTACAGTGGTCTAGAGATACTGATTTCTGTGAATTATTACTATTCCTTTTTTTCCCACACAGAGGAACCGTGTGCTTAACTCAGTCACGTGACCAACAGTAATGCCCTCTAAGCCATCTGTTAATAGGTAATAACAAAGCTAAATCTCACAAAGTCCCAAACAGAACATAACACTGGGTCCAACCAGGGCACCCCTCTCCCCCAAAACAGAGTAGTATTCATGGCCTCTCTCCAAGGTAGACACAGACCCTGAGTCAGTTTGAAGTTTTTCTGAGGAAGTACTCAGAAACAATGCGGAGAAAACAAAGGACTTGCATGCTGTCTGGTTGAATCTACATGTTACCCACCTCGAGAACCATAGGCCTTCTCTTTGTTTTATGGGCATTAATCCCTTCCTCCTATTCCCACAGCTCCCTCCTGAACCAATCCCTTCTGAGACACTGGCTCTCACAGCCCTCACTGAATAAGAAATGGCTTCAGCTCCCAGGTCCTGTTCTAGGGAACTAGGAAGAGACATCTGACATAGGCTGAACCGAGAGATTCTCTGGCCTGGGAATTTTTAACTGGGTTTCTCGTACTCTGGCCAGTCTCTATCAGATGCATGAAAACAAAGACCACATAAATCCAGCCTGAGACAGCCTTGCACACGCCAAAGCATAGTGACAGTTTGCAGAGAAGAGGAAGAATGCATCAGAGACACAGCTGAGAGAAGCAAGGACAGGAGATCATTATGGACCCAGAGACAGAGAGCAAGCAAGCCACCTCAGCTCCCCTTCTAGCGTCTTGGGTTCTGGGAGCAAATCCCCCATCTTTCTTCTTTTTGCAACCAAATGATGCTTAAGATGAGGCCCTCACCTTTGTAACACATCATTGGTACAAATGGCAATAGCTAATGCTAAGCTACCTCCCAGGCGAACAAACAGAGAATTATTCCAAGGCACGAAAGGTAAACCGTCAAGCACAACAGTGTGGTGGTCCACTTCTCATTCTTAAACAATACATGACAAGCGTACTTCTGCTGCTCCAGCCGAAGTCTCTCTTCTTCTATCCTCCTCCTCTCCTCTTCCTCCCGTCTAAGCCTTTCTTCTTCTTCTCTCCTACGTTTCTCTTCCTCCTTTTGCAGACGCTCTCGTTCTTCCTCTTCACGCCGCCTTCGCTCCTCCTCCTCCTTCCTACGAGGTAACGGACAGAGAGAATGAACCCTAAACAAAGAATCCTATATAAAAATAACTTAAGACTATTTCCCAGTGAAGATTGACCCAGGTTTCTTGGAGAAACATGTGATAATTTTATCACTATTTGAAATGAACATTTCCAAGAGGAGAAATTTATCATATGGAATCAACCTCTAACTATACAGATCACGACAAGAACTATGACTGCTACACAGCAACAGAAAAAGGAGTCTATCAGTAAGGTACCACTAAAACCATTACAATACCTCGAAGGCTCCCATCTAAGATATGCTGACAGCATCACAAGCTTTTCCTTCATACTACCTGCCGTCATTGCAAATAAATTTATGTTGATAAATTTAGCAATATATCTGCCTTATTCACTGAAGTACATGTTACGTGAGGGCAGAGACCGCCTGTCTCACACAACTGTAGTCTGAGGGTTTATATAATCATGTATAATTTCTGAAATTAAAAAAAAAATTAAAGCTTTAAATTAAAAAAAAGAAAAGAACAGTTGGACATCTGGGTGCAGCTAGATTTTTACCTAGCTCTCACCCACTCCTGCAACCCCGTTCTCAAGGGAGAAAAGATACACTAGGAATGAATGCCACACAGGTCACAGAGTGGGGAGGATGACAGGGAGGATGAAGATATGATGAAAGAGCAGACTTCCGAAGTTCTCAGAGAAGACACCATTTCATGGTCCTACCATGAGAAATGCCTAGATTACCCCACTTATCTCCCCAAACTCCTGTAAGTGATTAACACACCTGAGTCACAACCAACCAAGACTCAAATACAGCAGTAACATGACCGAGTTTCAATATGTGACAGTACACAGGGCAAGATATTCCAAAAGCCAAAGTGTAAGCTTCAGGATAGAGGAAGTCTTATCCTAAATGCTTTAAAAGAATTCTATATGGATCTCATCTCATGACAGGAGTATATTTTTAAAAGGAAAAACACAGTTTTACATGTTCAGTAGTAACTTAAATATTCAATTTATCATTATAAAATAATTTAAAAAGCAGCGTATACTCCTTTCAAAGACACAGCTACACCTCAATGATCCAAAATCACTACACAATGGATTACAGCACATAGATCAAGTCTCCAGTAAAGGAATCTCCTTCCATTCTAATAAGAAAACTTTTTCTTTGGATAACAACTATATTCCTTTGGATAAATATTTTCTGGAAATATATTAGGATATGTTCTATTATTTATTTTATTTTGGTTCTATCCTTTTAAAGACAGACAAACTATACCCAGTGCTCTGTCTATTGAAAACTCAGGAATTATAACTCCAAACATAAATATAGTACATGTTATAAAACAGTGATAGTTTACTTTCACATTTTCACAAATGACCCATGGCTGCCATATTTTTATAATTCTTACAATTATTTTTTGTGGTTTCTGTCTTTTCCTTCACTGTCAGGCTATTTTCCCTTCTAATATGTTATTTCCAGGATAAGGTGGGAAATCAGGGAACCGACTGTTTCTAAAGCAAGAAAAACATAATTTGAGGGAAAATCAGCTTTATAGAATTTTTCTTTAAAGGTAACTTAGTTTATCTAACCATTCTGTCATTATAGATGCTGACTGCTAGCATTTTTTGTTTTTTGCTATTATCTATAGAATTATAATGAACATCCTCGAAAATGAAGTGAAACTGTTAGTTGCTCAGTCGTGTCCGACTCTATACAACCCCGTGGGCTGTAGTCCGCCAGGCTCCTCTGACCGTGGGATTTTCCAGGCAGCCTACTGGAGGGGATTGCCATTTCCTTCTCCAGGGGAATCTTCCCAACCCAGGGATTGAATCCAAGTTTCCTGCACTGTAGGCAGAGTCTTCACCATCTGAGCCACTAGGCTCATATTCTGGTATTTCTGTAGAATGGGTTTAAGTGGGATTGCCAGGTAGCATTTGAACTTTTAATAAATTCTACAAAATTGTCCCCTAAAAAGTTTGTAATTATTTGCAATTGTTTGTAAATATTTACACTCACTACAAACATAGTATGTGAAAATGTTCATTTCAGGATGTTCTCACAGTGACCGCTATAATATGGCACCTCATTTTTTCCTTTTAATCACGAACTTTTGGAACAACGTATTCACCATTTTATTCTATGACTTTCTGCCATTTTTCAGGCAACTTCATAATTTCACCTTTTCTTTTTTTTTTCTGGGAAAAGACTCATTTCTTTATTGGGACAGTGAGAAGATAAAGTCCATTAAACAAAAAATGAAATGGAAGTGTACATAAGGCAGGAAAATTCATCTCTAAAAACAGAGGAAAAAAGAAAAATAACTATCCATCCCAAGATCATCTCTTTAGGAGCTTCCATTACTAGGAACTACCAATTCCATCAGTTTCTCATACCCCAGGATGTTGAATGTCATCTAGTATTTTGCAGCACTTGTAGAAAATAAATCATTTTTCTTCCTTCCTTTTTATGTTGATATATTGAATTATAATCAATATTCTAAGTGCTAAATCAGTACTGCAAAACTAGTTACGAAGTGCTTGATATTTTCTTCAGTGTGGAAGATTTAGAGTAAAATTAGTGCTATTTCAATTTATATGTTGGAAGAGTTTATCAGGAAAGATTAAGATATTTATGTCAAGTTAATATACTGACATAAACATGGTCATGGTATTTTTTTTCATATTTACTTCTTAACATCTGTAAGATGTGTAGTGATGTTTCTTTTTTCATCTCTCAGAATTATATTTTATGTATTCTCTCTTCTTGATCATATCTACCAGAGTTTAATCATTTATCAGTCTTTTAAAGCAGTCAACTTTGGACTTCATTGATTTATCAATTCTACATTTAAATTTTTGCTTTCTTGTCCTATCTTCATTATTTCCTTCATTTCAAAAGCTTGATTTGCAGGGTATTCTCCCTTCTTGAAATGAATGAAGGGAACGTTTATTTTCATCCATTTTGTCTTCCAGTATATGATTTTTTTTTCATATTTTTATTTTTTTTTCATTTATTTTTATTAGTTGGAGGCTAATTACTTCACAACATTGCAGTGGGTTTTGTCATACATTGACATGAATCAGCCATGGAGTTACATGTATTCCCCATCCCGATCCCCCCTCCCACCTCCCTTTCAAAACTTTTTCTTTTTGAGCAAAGAACTGTTTCAGATGCCTTTATAGCATTATTTTCATTACCTAGAAATTTCAGATTGTTCTTGAAAATATAACTGCTAGATAAAAAAAGTGTTAACTATAATTCTGCTGAATTCACAATCATGACAGAAAATCCCATAAGCATAAACAGTGCATTCAATAGCACCCCCTGCAATCTCTGGAAGTAATTAATGAGCTATCTGGAAGCCACAGCCAATATGTAATGCCTACCTAAGGCATTTCATGTAGCACAGCTGATAACCATGATACAGAATATGAATATTCTAGAAAAAACAAGAGAGGCAGCAGCAAAGGGTGTGTGAGACCAGAGTGTAGGAGGAGGGGTGGCTGAGCTTACTGTGTTTGCTCAGAAACTTAGTGCAGTAACACAAAATGAATGCTGCCGTGATGAATGGGTGGTTCCTTTTAAAGGTATAGCCAGACGGAAGCAGTAAACCCTCTCCCTTCAAAACTCTTAATAAAAGCACCTGCTCACATCAGAAAGTTTTGAGCAACTGCCATAAGAAGTGGGGACCCGACGGAAGGTAAGACACCTGACTGAGAACACACACTTCATAAAGCAAAAGCATCAGGACACTACGCAGCGAACAGGCTGCCCAAGGATCAAGTATTCTGTGCTCTCAAACTTCACCTTTTTTTTTCTTGCTCTTCCTTCTCTATTTTGTGGGATGCAACGTATGTTGAAAAGAGATGGCAACACCTATTCAGGAGCTGGACGAACTCTACCATGGCATCTTCTTTAGACATGTTTCCCAGGGCTGCCCATTCTCTCCTGTAAACAACAAGAAAGTTACTTGCTACTCTTAAAAGAGTAAGAATTTGATTTCATTTAAACCTAAATATAAACAAGTCTCAATTATAACTAAAATGAAGAATGACTCGACTGTACAGATTCAAAACTTCAACATGTATGGACTGGTTTACTAAACTAGATAACCTACATACAAACCAAACCTATACCATAATTTAACTGCATTGCTGATAATTTCCATACCAGTAAAAGGGTATCAAAGTTCTACTTTTCTTATAGTTTAGCCTTAACTGAATAAAATGCTTAATATATTCTTTCCTGTCACAACTCTGTACGTGTCCCAACAAGGGAATCAACTACCATACTGTAAATTGCTGTTGTAATATTATTTTGGAAGAATCAAATGACGCTGTCTTATGTTCATAATCAGATGAGTAAACATCTTTCACAATATTTAGCCATAAACATCTCCAAACCAAAAACAGATAAACATCTGAAGACTCCAGAAGCTGCAAGCAAAAATGTTTGCTTTGCTTTTATTCTAAAGCTAATGAGCCAGCTATTTACATCTGAACTAATTTACTCTGTACCATTCTCTCCACTCCAATATTCTTGCCTGGAGAATTCCATGGACAGAGGAGCCTGGAGGGCTGTAAGATCATAAAGAGTCGGATACAACTGAAGCAACTTAGCATGCACTCACTCATTAAATTCATTACATAATAAAACACTGTTACCTCCTGTCATTTCCCAACACATCAAAGAATCCAACCTCAGGACAAGTGTCTGGATTATATGGGCCCATAAGAACCTGCTTATGCAGTGCCACAAGTTTCAGTTTTTCTTCGTAAGTTGGATGAAATGCTTTCCCATCTTTTTCTATAACAAAAATAAACACAAAAACAATTAGCACTGGCAAAATACTACAATTTCAGCACTCTAGGTTGAAATTCTGGTATAAGGTATATCACAAATTGCCTGTGAAATTTATATTGCCTATAAAAACCACTGTAGGAAGATTTTTATTTCAAGTACTAAATTTTAATAATCAAAGCCAAGATAAAAAAACTGCATGCTGAGTTAATTTTTTAAAATAAAGTTAAATACTAATATTTATGTTAAAACTACTACAAAGAGTAAACCAATTAAAAAAAAATACTAAAGAGAAACCAATGTCAAGCAACAGTACGGCATACACACAACAGTGTACCACTTAACATCTTCTTCAAATATTAAAAATGTTCAGAAACCATTTTTTAAAATAAGTTCAAAAATTTTTATATCAAGCATTTTAAGTAAGAGATATATGCATAGGAGATTACATATAATTTGAAAGACTATATTCAAAATGTACCCATCCCACTGAAACAGTATAATGTGGTGGAAGGGACTTTAGAATCAGACATCCTAGGTTTAGATCTTATCTCAGACACTTCCTAGCTATAGGACCATTGAAACTCTTAGTCTGTTTATCAATAAAGAGTCTTTTCTACTTCAGAGGTAACAGGACAGTATTAATGGTAATAACTGTTGGATCTTTCCGCTGCTCTGGCAGGTTGCCAATGGGCAATTACAGTGAAGCCAGTATGACCCACAGAGACTTAACTACCACTAGGAACACTTAAAAGCAGTATGAGACTGGGTGCTGACAAAACAGGAAATCCTACTTCTGTGATAAATGGAAGTGTTAGTTACTGGTTGGTTCTAATGATAAGAGACTACCAAATTTTAAAACAAAAAAGGAGGTAAAAAGTAGTGTCTATTGCCTACAAATTTTATCCATGCACAGAGCAGTCACCAAAAGAAAATTACTCATGATAAGAGAAGAATGTGGTTTAAAGAATAGTTCATATACTGTTCAAGGAATCTTAAGAGGAGAAAAAAAAAAAATACAAGCTGCCAATAAGCATCCCAAAACATTCAATTTCACTCGTCAAGGAAATGGAAACTGAAAACATTAGATACTCAAGATGTTGTCTACCATCAGATAGGTCAAAAAAGTTAGGTCATCAAGAGTTGGTAAGAACAGGACAAACAGGTACCCACTCTCAATACACTCATGCTGAAAGTATAAATTGTTAGTTATCTTAGAGGGAATCAGGCAATATATTCCAAAATTGTAAATACAGATGCCCTATGGTCCAGTAATGCCAATTCTCATCATCTACTCTCGATAAGCACTCCCAAATACACAGAAGGAGGTGGACACAGGAATATTTTCATTGCAGCACTCTTTTCTTATTACTGTAAACAACTTAAAAGTTCATCAATAAGGAAACAGCTAAATAATGTGGCATAGTCAGTCTATGGAATAAATGAAGTAAAGGAAATATCTAGAGTAGGAAATGGCAATCCACTCCAGTATTCTTGCCTAGAGAACCCCAGGATAGAGGAGCCTGGTGGGCTACAGTCCGTGGGGCCGCAGAGCCAGACACAACTGAGTGAGCGAGCACAAAGGAAACACAGTTAAATGAAAAAAGCAAGCTGCAGAAAACTATATACAATCACACAGCACAAAATATATTATCTTCAATTCTAAGTACTCCCCCAACCCACACTTTAACATCTCTAAAATCAGATTAGTTTTTACATCTATTGTATTTTATAGTTGTAACTGGCAGTTTTTCTTTCTTTACAGTATGTAATAGTAAGTCTTAGAATTGATGAAATACAGCATGTAGCACACGCACATATATATTCTATGGGTACATTTACATGCATGTAAATGCAAAGAAAAAGATCTAGACAGAGTCACACTAAAAAGATGAAGATGAGGAGTAGTGATCAGAGAACTTAAAACTAGAAATATTTTAATCTTTCAGAGGAAAATATTCGGAAGAACAAACCAAACTGTTAAAGAGAGTGGGGACTGAAAAGAATTACATCTATGTACTTCTATATCATTATATATACATATACTTCAATCTGAATTTTTTTCAGTAAGAACTCATCAATACTTGAAAAAAGACAAAACTGTGGCACTGACCTTATTTATATTTAATAAAATTTGTAACAACTCAGAAACCTGTGGACCTGCCCATATGTCTTTGTTACTGAGCAAACAGTATCACTAAACAATTAGTACCAGAAATAGGAACTTCCTCTAAAGTTTTTAGAACAGGATTATACATAGGTCTATATATACCAACTAAAAGGCAGTTCCCATTTTAAAATCTAACTCTTAGAAGTCTGTTTCAATTAAGAACACTATAAGACCTTTTGTATATTCATTAGTTCAACTCAGTAAATATTTATTGATCCCTTGCATGCAAATCATAGTGCTAGACACCAGGATTCATCACCCTCCTGGAGTTTACAAACCACTGAGCTCGATTAACAATGTGTAACTTGGCAATCCAGTATATAATTATGTCTAGCTGTATATTTCAGGTATAAATACACGGCAAACAAATTATTAAAAATTATATTGAGATAAAGGAACAATTATTTTAGAGTTTAGGAAAAAAAGGTCAAAAAGGTAATAACATGACTTGTTCCAACTGTTTAGGTTGGACCAGGAGTTACGTTTAATTTCAAGGTAATATATAATAAAAATAGAGGAAAATAGATAAGTGTAGAAAACCAAAATACATCTTTACATTATCTCTCATGAAAAAACCAACAAGTCTAATGAATTCTTTTCTAAATATTGCCTTGAAAAATTATCTTAGCAAGAAAAACAGTGTTACACCTGTTGACTGCTGCGTTATTTAAAATCTAATTATTCAACAATAACACAATACTTAAATTACAGTATTCCACTGAATAGACTATACAGCTATTTAAAATGACAATATAAGGACGATATATCATTTCAGAGAATACTTATGAAGTATTAATGAAAACAAGCAGAATAAAAAGATACTAAAAAATAATTTTATGCTTACAACCATGCAAAAATGGGTGATTACACATATAGATCTTTCTTTTTAAAAACAAAATTAGCCTGCCAGAACTCTGTATTCTAAGATAATAGTGTTAAAAAAATGTGAAATAGTGGCAACTTTTTACCAAAAAGCCTTTTTCAATTTTCAAGATGCTTATAAGCTTCTTTTAGCATCTACCTTAATTTTGTACATATTAGTCACCAAAAGTTTTCTTATGCTAATTACCTCTCAGAGAAACATAGCCCAGACAACTTTCTTCTCACACCCCCCAAAAGTGATGATTTGAAAAACAGCCCCAACCTTTATCTTAGCTTACGAGTTGAAAGATAAACAAAAAAGGTGCCAACTTAACTGTTCATGTTATCTTGAGCCTTACAAAAGAAAAATATGCTGCTGGTGATCCGAGAGAAAAAAAAGAAGATATAGTGAGCCTGAGAAACACTGAGGGTAGACAGCATACCCTCATGGGTAGACTCTTTGCTTTGTTCCAAACATCAGGATCCCTGGAATTTTGTTTCTCCTTAAAAAAAAAAAAAAAAGCCTAAATTCTGTTAAAGTGGTTACTTTGACTCCTTCAATAAAGATAAAGATAAAAATCAATAAAGATAACATCAAATGAAAACTTTATTCACTGAAGACCACTTTTCTGATCAGTCATGTAATACAGCAATTTTCAAATACACACACACACAAATTCTTATTTGCTTCAGGGAGATGATTTGAAGCTGACAGACAGGACTAGTGGGTATGAAAAAAGTATTTTAGGGCTTCCCTGGCGGCTCAGTGGTAAAGAATCTGCCCTCCAATGCAGGAGACATGGGTCCAACCCCTGAGCTGGGAAGATCCCAAACGCTGCAAAGCACCTGAGTGAGTGTGCCTCAACTATCAGGAGCCCACGCTCTAGAGCCCAGGGGCCGCAACTACTGAAGCCCGTGTGCCCGAGGCCCCTGCTCTGCACAAGGGAAGCCGCTGCGGCGAGAAGCTGGGGCACAGCAACTCGGGAGGAGCCCTCTCTGTCAACAGAGAAAAGCCCGCAAAGCAACCAAGGCCCAGCACAGCCAAAAACAAAATCAAAGGTAAAAGTACGTATTTTTTAAAAAGATGGCTCATATAAAGTTACTTTAATGGAGGGAGGGTCCATTTCCTACCAAGAGATAAATCTGCTCCTTTACTTCAAATATTCGGCAGTGCAAACTAGAACTAGCGGGCCACAGGAGAGGGTGAGTCAACAAGGAAACTAGCCACTATTCAGCAGTGTTAGTCTAACCTTGACCCTAAAAGGTGACTCATCAACAGGGGGCGGGGGTTCAGGATATTTAGATGCCATTTTAACATCTGCCCTTTATATGCCAGACAGGATTAAGAATATACTGCCAATCCATAAAGGCTTTTTCAAAAGAGGAATATGTTTTTAAGTGTTAAGTTCTGGTCAAGCGCTCAAATTTGCTCACCACCATGAACGCCAGTGCTAAGCACAAACTTTGTTAATAGGCATTCACCGCACCAAAACCATGCCCAATAAATCTCTCTAAAGAAGAAATTGACTGTAAAGGTCAATCTCTGTGAGAATAAAACAGTACATCCATTCTCATGAATTTTACTGGTATTTCCACAGAATCTTTATACATTTGCTAATTTTTCTTTTTTTTCCCGTCTTATTTGATTCTCTGAAATGACAAACAAAATTGATAAACCTTGAAAAACTCATCAAGAAAAAAGGGAGAGAACGCAAATCAATAAAATCAGAAATGAAAAAGGAGAAGTTACAAGTGACTCCACAGAAATACCAAGGATCCTAAGAGACTCCTATAAGCAACTATATTGACTGCTAAGGGATTAGTCTCCAAAATTTATAAAGTTGCTTCAGTTGTGTCCAATTCTTAGACACCCTATGGACTCTATCCTGCCAGGCTCCTCTGCCCATGGGATGCTCCAGGCAAGAATACTGAGTGGGTTGCCATGCCCTTCTCCAGGGATCTTCTTGACCCAGGG